ACCAGTCAGATGATTAAAATGAAATTCAAGGTTTAGGTTAATATGGATTTAATCCTATCCTATTTAATCCTCTAATGCTATTTTAATCCTCGCGAATTACCTCAATATTTAACCTATTTATTTAACCATATCACTATTGAAACAAAGATGGCACGCGATATATATGGCGGACAGCTGGCTTAGCCATCTGCATGTCTGGCCACAGATGGCTACTGGCGATATTGAGGCCTGCACCTGCTATATGTGTGCCACATAATATACATACGATATACAATATAATATACATGTAATATACCACGTAATATGCCAACAATATACCACATAAAATACAAACTATATACAACGTAACGCACATATAATATGCCACATAATATACATACCATATACCACATCATATACATACAATATACAACGTAATATGCATATAATATACCACGTAATATACATACAATATACTACGTAATATGCACATAATATACCAATTATTATATAAACTATTTACCACGTAAGGTACATATAATATGCCACGTAGTATACCTATCATATACTACGTAATATACATACAATACACCATATAACATACAGAGTATAAACCACTTAATTTACACACGATATGCATCATAATATACCTACACTTCAATATACAACATAATATACCATGTAATATGCATACAATATACAATATTATATACAGACTATAAAACAAATAATATACACATAATATACCATATATAATAAATAGAAAATATGACATAATATACAAACTATAGAACAAATAATATGTATACAATATACATACATATTTTGGTCGGTGCATCTATAATACGCGATTTGGAATTATCACGATGAAATATTTTTACAAAGAATCCCGGTTAAAATGTATCGGTCAAAAATAGATTGTAAGAACACATTTTTTACACGCAAAAAAAATGTTTCGTCTGGTTTTTATTTTTTTTTCGCGAAAAAGTTTATGTTGTTAGCAGTTTTTTTTTGTAATTGCACATTCATAATTTATAAATATTAAGTTCCCCAAAAAATTTAGGAATACAATTTCTCATCTTTTGTGAACGTTTTATAATATTATATGCACTTGTATACGCTTTTTAATCTAAAAAAAATACACAGAAAAAAGTACACATTTTTAACATACTATCTACAACATTGCAGTCGTATTAAATAAATTATATATCATTATTATTGAGAAAAAACAAATAAATCAATATTCACTTTTCAATTTTTTTATACTCTAATTAAATATAAATGGTTTATCACCCCGTAACGTGAACATGTTGAAAAATATGATACCAAACCAGTGGTAATAACGTTTAAATATATGCACACAAATTTTTAGACACGAATTTTTTCGCGATCCAAACAACATAAATATAATATAAATATTATTATTATTAGCATTATCAATAATAGTAAAAAGTAGAAAAATTATAATTCAATAAAAAAGATTTTGAACGGAAAGAAAAAGTTTTAAAATCTAAACATAGAACACACACACACACGAAAAAACAATGTTTGCGGCTAAGAATTTCAATTACATAAATGAGTTTGGAGACCCGCAAAATATGTCTGATAGCTTGACCTCAGAGCATAAAATTTTTATATGTGTGCCATTAGGCCTAGGAAGCGCATAGAACAAAATTTTAAACACAAGCCTATTCATTCAAATAATAAATATATTCTACTGTCATCATAAAAAATATTACTCCTAAAACAGGGGAAAATAATGGAATATCACTTGGAATTCAAGCCGTAAACCAAAGTTTAAAATTCTAAAAAAACACAAATTTTGAAAAATCCGAAATAGATCCGACGTGAGGGCAACATCATCATTTGGAGCTTACGCTGAGACGGCGTCTGAACGCCAACAAATTGTTTTCCATAATGACTTTCGTCCCTCGTTTACCCTCTTTCTCCCCTCGTTTACCCGATTTCTTCTGTCGTTTGCCTCTTTCTTCCCTCGTATACCCTCTTTCGCCCTCTTTCCTCACTCATTTACCCTCTTTCTTCCTTAGTTTACACTCTTTCGTTCCTCTTTCTTCTCTCGTTTACCCTCTCTCGTCCCTCTCTCTTCCTTAGTTTACCCTATATCTTCTTTCGTTTACCCTATTTCTTTCTTCGTTTACCCTTTTTTTCATACACCCTCTTTCTTTTCTCGTTCATCATCTTTCTTCCCTCGTCTACCCTCTTTCATTTCTCGTTTACCCTCTTTCGTCAATCGTTTACCCACTTTCATCCCTCGTTTAACCTTTTCCGCATCTCGCTTACCTTGTTTCTTTCCCTCGTTCACCTCTTTCATTTCTCTTTTACTCTCTTTCGCTTCTCGTTTACCTTCTTTCGTCACTCGTTTATCCTCTCACCTCCCTCGTTTGCCCTCATGTGGTCCTCTTTTATTCTCTCCTCTAAGGTGTCATTCGCTTCTTATCTCCGGTCTCGTACAGCCGCTTCTCTACGTTTTATTATATTATTTATTCTAATACATTTCTTCTTATGAGGCCTCTTTCCTCTCTTTTTCTTCCTATCATACCTTCTTTTATGGTGCCTCCTTTTCCCTCTTTTTTGTGCCCATTTCATCATACCCCATAACTGTCAAATAAAAAATGAAAATAGCCCAGATAAGCAGCAAGTTTAGTGAATGAAAAAGAAAAAAAAATTAATAGGATAAAAACCCATTGGCAGTTACACCCTCTTTCTTCCCTCGTCTGACCCTTTCTCACCCTCGTCTACCCTCTTTAATTTCTCGTTTACCCTCTTTCATCCCTCGTTTAACCTCTTCCGTGTATCGCTTACCTTCTTTCTTCCTTCGTTTACCTCTTTCATTTTTCTTTGTCTCTTTCGCTTCTCGTTTACCTTCTTTCGTCTCTCGTTTTTCCTCTCACCTACCTCATTTGCCCTCATGTGGTCCTCTTTTATTATCTCCTCTCTGGTGTCTTTCGCTTCTTATCTCCGGTCTCGCACAGTCGTTTCTCTACCTTTTACTTCATTGTTTATTCTAATACATTTCTTCTTCTGGGACCACTTTCCTCTCTTTTTGTTCCTATCATACTTTCATTTATGGTGCCTCCTTTCCCCTCTTTTTTGTGACCATAACACCCCACAACTGTCAAATAAAAAATGAAAATAGCCCAGATAAGCAGCAAGTTTAGTGAATGAAAAAGAAAAAAAAATTAATAGGATAAAAACCCATTGGCAGCTTAAATAAAAAACTGAAAAAAATAAAAAAGAGGGAAAACAGGCTTAGAGGGCACTGAAAAAAATGAATAAATGAAAATGAAACAGAAAACTTTAGAGACGAGGGAAACAGCCAAAATGAGGGGAAATCTCCATGATGGAAAATAAGTGAGGGCAAAAAAGTGAGGGTGAGAAAGTGAGGGTAAAAAGTGAGGGAAGCAGGACTAGGCTGAGGGCATTACCATAACATTACAATGATGATCACAATAAAGTCGGCGACACAATACCAGTGCCGCATTAGGAGTATTTTTGGTTACCGTGGAGGCTCCCTCTCTGCGGTAATATTTAGTAGCATGCACGTTATTATGAATTATTACATATTTATTCAAATAATATGAGGATATGTCTATTCATATGCTTATTAGGATGACATGAATATATTTCTATATAGATATTTTATTTATTTAGGGTAAGGACATTTTTTACGTATCTATTCAGGTGCGTAGTTATTTCTTATTAAGACGTCTTAAATTATATATGAAATTAAGAAATAAGAATACTAAGATATTTGCACAGCAAAAGCAGCAATTGCACCACGAAATAAATTAAAATCTTTAATTATTTACTTAAATTTGAAAGAAATATTATTATTAAAATTAGAATTCTGCACCAATTATGAATTTCGGTTATAACGATATCGTTATTATATCGGAAATTGACATGATTTATATTTCAAACGAATTTTTCCAACGACAACCATCATTAATTATAGTAGCTACCATAATTAAACAAAATAATTAAAAACCTAAACCTGATAATTTCTATCTGCACATAATAATGACCATAATCATATAGAATAATAGCCTTCATTAAACCTAATAATTACTCTCATTAACCCAAAATAATCACCCTCATTAAACCAAATAATTACCCTCATCAAGCTCAATAATTTCCCTCAATAAACCTAAAAACAACCATCATTATGACTAATAAATAACTTACAATCATTGTGTATATTGACTTATATATAATAATAAATATATTATATACTATATTATTAAATTATTAATTTAAATATATATTGAAATTTGAATGAGATGAATTAATGAGATGAATAAATGCGATGAGTTAATGAGATGAATAAATGAGATAAATTAATGCGATGAACAAATGAGATGAATAAATGAGATGAATAAATGACATGATTAAATGAAATGAATAAATAAGATAAATGAGATGAATAAATGAGATGAATTAATGGGAAGAATAAATGAGATGAACGAAAGCGATGAACAAATGAGATGAATAAATTAGATGAATCAATGACATAATTAAATGAAATGGATAAATAAGATAAATGAGATGAATAAATGAGATAAATCAATGAGATCAATTAATGAGAAGAATAAATGAGATGAACGAATGCGATGAATAAATGAGATGAATTAAGGAAATGAGTTCATTAATGAGTGACCATCACTTCATGATACTCATGGCCGCTATCATGGTACACTAAGAAAACTGAATGTGTCATATTAATCAAATAGTGACACGCTTTCTTACCCTCAGCACAAGCAGAGAGCAGCCGTAGCACTGATACGCCCCTGTGCATTGCCAAAGTGGGTCAAGATGACCCACATAAGGGTATAAAATGCATAATTATTTGGACAAAATCTCACTAATCTCTCTGAGTGTCATCAATATTTTAATGATCATTTTATGATTTTTTATGAGCAAATAAAAAAAGTATAAAAAATAATTAATTTATGCACAAATTATTGCCGCTTTTGTAATTATTCTTTTTTTTTACATCGCCGTTATTCGTTATTTGTGCTCCCAAAGACATCGCCGTTATTTTCGCTCCCAAAGACATCGCCGTTATTTTCACTCCCAAAGACATCGACGTTATTTTCACTCACAAAGACATCGCCGTTATTTTCACTCCTAAAGACATCGCCGTTATTTTCACTCCCAAAGACATCGCCGTTATTTTCACTCCCAAAGACATCGCTGTTATTTTCACTCCTAAAGACATCGCCGTTATTTTCACTCACAAAGACATCGCTGTTATTTTCACTCACAAAGACATCGCCGTTATTTTCACTCACAAAGACATCGCTGTTATTTTCACTCCCAAAGACATCGCCGTTATTTTCGCTGCCAAAGACATCGCTGTTATTTTCACTCACAAAAACATCGCCGTTATTTTCACTCCCAAAGACATCGCTGTCATTTTCACTCACAAAAACATCGCCGTTATTTTCACTCACAAAGACATCGCCGTTATTTTCACTCACAAAGACATCGCTGTTATTTNCTCATAAACCGGCCAATAATTGCATTGTGGAATTGGCCGCGCATAAACCGGCCAATAATTTCAGCAGGGAATTCAGGCAGTTATTCATTGGGGTTTTTACAGCGCGTCTGTCATTTGAATGACGCTGTGAATGCGGCTTGATTGACAGCCGACATAATCACGGGTGATTAGTGGGGGTGATTAGTAGGTGCCTAATGTGAAGAGAGGGTGATTATTGCGAGGGTGAGAGCGAGAGGGTGATTATCGTGAGGGTGAGGGTGACTATCGTGAGGGTGAGAGAGGGTGATTATTTTGAAGGAGAGAGAGGGTGATTATGGTGAGGGAGGGAGAGGATGATTATCGCGAGGGAGAAAGAGGGTAATTTTTTCATGGTTGAGAGAGGGTAATCATCCTGAGGGTAATTAATTATTACTTATTATTATAATTTTATATACACTAAAATACAACAAAGAATTTTTTCTACAATAATATATTTTTAGTGTATATGATTTACAGTTAATAATATTGTTAATACAGGTTCAAACTATTGAAATAAACTTAGTCTTCAAAATATACAAAGTGCCAGTCAGATAGTTAAAATGAAATTCAAGGATTAGGTTAATATGGATTACAATATTTAACATAGCGAATTAACTCTATATTTAACCTATTTATTTAGGCATATCACTATTGAAACAAAGATGGCACGTGATATATATGGCTGACAGCTGGCTTNTTTCATTTCTCGTTTACCCTCTTTCGTCAATCGTTTACCCACTTTCATCCCTCGTTTAACCTTTTCCGCATCTCGCTTACCTTGTTTCTTTCCCTCGTTCACCTCTTTCATTTCTCTTTTACTCTCTTTCGCTTCTCGTTTACCTTCTTTCGTCACTCGTTTATCCTCTCACCTCCCTCGTTTGCCCTCATGTGGTCCTCTTTTATTCTCTCCTCTAAGGTGTCATTCGCTTCTTATCTCCGGTCTCGTACAGCCGCTTCTCTACGTTTTATTATATTATTTATTCTAATACATTTCTTCTTATGAGGCCTCTTTCCTCTCTTTTTCTTCCTATCATACCTTCTTTTATGGTGCCTCCTTTTCCCTCTTTTTTGTGCCCATTTCATCATACCCCATAACTGTCAAATAAAAAATGAAAATAGCCCAGATAAGCAGCAAGTTTAGTGAATGAAAAAGAAAAAAAAATTAATAGGATAAAAACCCATTGGCAGCTTAAATAAAAAACTGAAAAAAATAAAAAAGAGGGAAAACAGGCTTAGAGGGCACTGAAAAAATGAATAAATGAGAATGAAACAGACAACTTTAGAGACGAGGGAAACAGCCAAAATGAGGGGAAATCTCCATGATGGAAAATAAGTGAGGGCAAAAAAGTGAGGGTGAGAAAGTGAGGGTAAAAAGTGAGGGAAGCAGGACTAGACTGAGGACATTTCCATAACATTACAATGATGATCACAATAAAGTCGGCGACACAATACCAGTGCCGCATTAGGAGTATTTTTGGTTACCGTGGAGGCTCCCTCTCTGCGGTAATATTTAGTAGCATGCACGTTATTATGAATTATTATATATTTATTCAAATAATGTGAGGATATGTCTATTCATATGCTTATTAGGATGACATGAATCTATTTCTATATAGATATTTTTATTAATTTAAGGTAAGGATATGTCTATGCAGATATGTACTTATTTCTTATGAAGACGTTCAAATTGAAAAATAATATTGTTACTCAAATTATATTTACACACATACCAATTATGAATTTTGATTGTAATGATATCGTCATTGATTACCGGGAATTTACAGGATTTAAATTTCAATCGATTTTTTCCAACGACAACCATCATTAATTATAATAATAACCACAATTAAATAGATTAATTTAAAAACTAAACCTGATAGTTTCCATCTGCACATGAAAATTACCATACTCATATAAACTGATTACCCTCATTAAGCCTGATAATTACCATCATTATGCCTAATAACTAACTTACAATCATTGTGTCCATTGACTTGCAGATAATATTAAATATATGTATAATATTATTGAATATATGATTAATATTATTATATATACCAAAATTTATGAATAAAAAATATAAAAGTTTAATGACTTTGAAGATAAATTAAAGAAGTATCACTCATTGAAGTATAACTTTGTTGTTACAGTTGTTACCAATGCCACATAATAAATCTGAACTATGTATCTTGATACTATTAATAGTTTAAATGTGTAAGAATAGCAGCGTTACAATATTCAAGCAATTTTATATATAGTATGCAAGCCATCATGTAATATATGTACAGGCAATAATATAAAACACATCAATCATATAAAATAGAACAATCATGTCACATACAAGCAATCACAAATTATATAGTGATCATATAAAATACAGCAATCTTATAATATACAGCAATCATGTAATATACAGCAATCTTATAATAAACTGAGATCACATAATACACAACAATCATTTAATATACAGCAATCATATAATATACAGCAATTAAAATCATGTAATATACAGCAATCATATAACACACAGCAATCATGTAATATACAGCAATCACATAATACACAACAATCACATAATACACAGCAATCATGTAATATACAGCAATCATACAATAAACAACAATTAAAATCATGTAATATACAGCAATCATATAACACACAACAATCACGTAATACACAACAATCACATAATACACCGCAATCATGGAATATACAGCAATCATACAATAAACATAAGTCATTTTCATCACATTAAGCAGATAGCCGAGGGACAAATCAGCGGAGTGTGGCAATCTAAATCAGTTTGACGGGTTTCCCGCTAGACTTGGAATAATGATGGCAGCATCTAGCGGTATTACCCGAGGCTTTATCCTCTGTTGTGGCGCAATTAGGCAACATTTTCTTCGCGGGATGCCTCTCGTTAGAGCAATCATGCAATGAATTAAAATAATCATCTTAATTAGAGGTAATAGCGCTGGATTAACATTACGGTCGGTGCCACAGTGAGACGATCTTGTTTACTAAACTTATGTGGGTTAATTTTGATGAATTGTGGGCTAAATTTATAATTTGGCATTTGGAGGTGTTATTATGAACCTTATTTAGGTTAATAAAATTTAAATGGAAATATAGTTAAGTGTTTCACGTATTTCGCGATCATTATAAGCCTGTGAAAATCAGGGCTAGTCATTTTACTTCACTCGGATAAGTCTACGGAAATTACGCCTAACATTTACTTTACTCCTGCAATTTAAACGTAATTTTCTTCATATGAATAATTTCTCAGTGTCAAAATAACACATCGTTATATCAATATAATCCGGTTTTCAAATAATATAATAATAAATATCATTATTAAAATGAGGTAAGCTATTTCAAAATGCTTTATTAAAACTCTAAGTTAAGACAAGAAAGACAGACTGTGAAAATTCAAAAAAACTAAATTCATAGTCGAAGTAAAATATACGAATACGGATCAAAACAGTTCAAATTACCACCAAGCCTGGAATTTACTTATAATCTTGTGTCATTCTAAAGAACAAATTGATTTTAGTAACTTTTTAATATCGAATTTAAACAAACTTTTCCTATAGAACAAAAGCAATTTATTTTTGTGTAGACCATCTATATACTTTTTCCATGCATATAAAAATATACTCTATATATTTTTCACACTCTTTATATTTTTCTATGCATAAAAAAGTAAACTAAATATATTTTTCACACTCTATATAGATATTTTATACATATAATAAAATAATTGGTTGAGGAATTTAACGAAGGGTGCTTATCGTTATAATAGCCACGACCTCAAACCTTCAGGTCTTGAACGATCAAAAAAAATTATATTTTTCGAGTCAAGACACATGAGAAAAAAATGACGCGTTCCCGCTGCGTGAGTGGGAAGAAAAATAACGTAAATGACTCAATGCGTCATTTACGTTAATGATCAGTTTAGGATAACGGCTTCTTAGTGAGCGCTAAAAACGACTAATGGCAATTGTGGAAGTTCCTTTAGAGCTTTACTTAATATAGCCTACGAGGGGTGGGGGGTTACGGGGGTGGGGGACAGGAGTGAAATTGAGGGAAGGGGTAAAAGAAAAGGGGGAATGAAGGGGAGAAAAGAGAGGAGAAATGGAAGGAGGGAAAGGAAGAGGTGAAAAGAAGGAGTGAAAGAGATGGGGAAAATGAAGGGGAGAAAGGATGGAGGAAAAGGAAGAGGTGAAAGGGAGAGGGAAATGAAGGGGAAAAGAAAGAAGGAAAGGGAAGGAAGGAAAGGAAGGAAAGGAAGGGGGAATGAAGGGGAAAAGGAAAAGTAAGGAAGGAAAGGATGAGGTGAAAGGAAGGAGGAAAAGGAAAGGAGAGAAGCATGAGTTAAGGGAAGGGGTAATGGGGACAGGAAGAGGGAAAGGGAAGGAGGAACGGAAGGGGGAGTAAAAGGGGATAAAAAAGCGTGAAATTATTGACGGGAGCTTCTTAGCTTTGATTAGGAACCGAGGGCGTGACGGGAATGGGAATGAGGTTCGGGAATGTCAGGATTGCGGTGGGAATCTCTACTAACGAGGCACTTATGAAGAGAGAATTTGAAGAGTTTTATAAATTCAAACATTTGTATACCATTATTCACTTTTTTAGATCAGTTATGTTAAAAAAACAATATTTTATATAACAATATTAATTTCTACAGGTCAATTTTGATTTTCTACTCCGTGTAAATGCAAAATTATATTTCAACTAATTTCACAAATTGAAAATTAAAGCAATATCAATATGATTGAATGTATTAATATACGTCAAAGAAGTTATATTTAGACTATAATTGGAACTTTACGTAGAACGAATGTAACTTTTTTATTGAAGACATCAAAAAGTATTTACAAATAGTTTTAGAGATTTCAACATTGAGGTATTTTAATATTCTTAATTTTAAATTTCGTTGTTTGATTCATCTGCGAATTAATCGGCTCGAAAGTATACTTATT